TTGAGGAAGATTCCCATCAAAGTTGAAGACTTTTTAAAGTTTCCATGTTTTTCTTCCATGAGATATTGAACGTATTCTGGATCAGAGGTATAGGCAATCTTAACACTTTGCTAATAGTTTAGTCCAGGGGTGAAATGTAAAATCTGTTACTACCAGTTCTGTGGGTGTGGCTTGGTGGTGGGGGGTAATGTGACTGGGTGGGTGTGGCCAACTTTTTTTTAAAAAAGCCTCTCTGTGGATCAGGAAACTCAGTTGGGATTGTCAGAGAGGCTCCTTAAAAAATGCCTCTCTGCTGATCAGGGAACTCAGCTGGGATCATCTGAGACTTTTCAAAGCACTTTTTTTACCACCTCTTGGGCCAAGAGGTTGCAGAAAAAAATGCTTTGAAAAGCCTCTGATGATCCCAGCTGAGCTGCGCGAGCATCGGAGGCTTTTTTTTTTACTTTTAAAAGCATTTTTTCATCGAAGAGGTTGTAGAAAAAATGCTTTTAAAAATAATTAAAAAAAGCCTCTGATGATCATGCGGCTCAGCTGGGCATGGGGCGGGGAGGCGCAGGGATTTTTGCTACCGGTTCTCCGAACCACCCACCGCCATCGCTACTGGATCGAGTGATCCAGTCCGAACTGGGAGCATTTCACCCCTGGTTTAGTCCATAATACTTAAGTGGTGAGAACTATAATCTAAAAATATTGATTGCCTAATGAATGGTAAAGGGGCCAAAAGTTTTGGTCCCATAGTGTTCTTCCTTTAGGACCTATGCAAGGCAAGTGAATAGCATCAATGAAGACTGATAGTAATTCCCTCATTTTTCCCTATTAACAAGTACTCAGTATACTGAAAAATGATCAGATCAAGTTATTTTGTGATTAAGTGACTATTTTAACTACATCAGATTATAAAGGTGGATATCAAAAATTATGACATTAAGAAAATGAAATCAGTGCCTTCATTCTGTTTTACACAGATTGCTAGATAATTTCCATAGGGATTCCTTAAGGTAATGCTTTGCAAAGTAGTCCTGGGCGTGGTTAGCATTTGAACCATCAGGAAATCCAAGAGTCAAAGACTAGACTGGAAAATTAAAAGAACATCCAGAACAAGGCAAAAATAAGCCACTTATGTATGTTGCAAAATTTACATCCATGTAGTCACCTTTTAAATACATCTTGAAATTGAACCATTCATGTTTTAAGAAGTCATTATATTATGGCATTATCTTTTCCTTTTCAACTATATAAAAAATGAACAACAATAAAAATGAAGACACGACTGCTTTGAATGTCAAATTCATTTGCATTTATTCAACAGTCCTTCCCAAACTCCAAAACGACATTTCTCTGACAGGGTGGAGAAGTGCCACAATATTTTTTTTAAAAGAATTAGCCAGTGTATAGACTTTTTCAAAGTACATTAAAAGGTAGAAACCTATTACAAAATATGTAAAAAAACAACAATCACATTAGTGCAAGAGGTTATGACTTATCTGTATGGAGGCACTGAACAACAACATAATTGCAATACAAGCCCTTTTATCTATCCTCACAAGTCTTTAAGGGCTTTGGGGTTGCTTTATGTTAGGTAACATTTTCACAATAAATTAATGGGATTCCCATTAGAAATCTGCCAATACCATAGAAAGATGTTTCCCATATATAGGACTTAAATCAGATGGTAAATTACAATCTACAGTTGACTGGAACAATGGACTGCGTACCAGCAAGTCAATTAAAAGTGAATCTATATAAGGCAGATGTTATTAATCCACAGTGATGGTTAATTTGTAGGGACCCAAATAGCAGCCAGGAATCAGCTTCTCCTCAATTCTACAATCCCCTCTCTCTTGTTAAGTCTTGTTAAGTACAGGATGTGGCTGTTATTTGCTAATCATCACATATTCTCTTATACCTTAACTGTTGTTAGTGCATTCTTCATAATGATATATTCTGAAAGGGACTGACTGCTCAGACCACATTAAACTTGATCACCAAGGGAAGAATAACTTCTGAGTACCCTTAAAAATATGTTAATATTTACATTTTAAACTCCCCAATGGGCCACGTACTACATTACATAGAAATAATTTTCCCCATGTCCATTTCCCTACCCCAAATCATTTTCTCTGAGATTAGGTAAAATCTAATTAGGCTTCCTGAATATTCTGCCACACCCATATATCAGTGTGTGAAATAAGTATTTTTAAAGACTTCCACTTAACCTCATGCTTTAGTATTCACTGAAAAAGGCATTCATCAATTTTTGAGGCAGATTTTAAATGAAGTTGAAGGGCTGGTTCAGACAAGCTTGCATAATATTTAAATACTTTATAAATATTGTGATTTGCAACTAAATGTGCAAACCAACCACAGTAAACAATATTCAGCTCAATGCAGCTAGGAGACATAGGCAGATGTGCTTCTTGATGTGCTAGATGATATGAAGTCAGTAATGGACATCAATGGGCCTTTTGTCCTACACAGTTTACCCAAATGAGAAAATGCTATATCATTACAAAGGGACGTTATCGGTATTGCGAGAATTATTTCTCACACAGTCAGTGAAAAGTAAGATATAGCAAAGAAGGGCAGATGAAAACAAGCCAGGCAACTCAAAAGTGAAGACCAAATAGTCTGGAACATAAACCAAGAACAAAAGTTAAAATACACTACAGAAAAATTAGTTCTTGAATCAAAGCAGTCGTGAAAAGTTGACTATGGCTTTGCACTCTTTCCAGTGGGTACATAGTGGCAGTTCCATTCTTTACCCTGTTATAGAAGATTCACTGTATGCTACAGATGTATGTTGTAGAGTCATCTATAATATATGGTGTAAAGATTGTAACAGTTACTATGGAGGACAGACAAACAGAAAACTAACAGAGCACATCCATGAACACCAATTAACAGTCAGAAGACATGAAAACTCCTTAATCTCACAACACAACACATGGGCTGACTCAACCACAGTTTCAACTGGGAAACTCTGAGCATCTTAGACAAACTAAATCCAAAAGTGCTAGGGAATTCCTGGACATTTGGCAATCAGACAAACCAGCCATCAATAGACACATAGAGATAAATCACATTTATATACCGTTCAAATGAGACAATAAAAAAGATAAGAAGAAATAAAAAAGATAAGAATATATTCTCTCCAGCAGCCAACAGCCAAATAAACAAGGAATAACACCAGGCAAACAATCAAGCAGAAAACAATACCCTGCTTAAAGAACTACCAACAGAAAAATCACCAAAGCTGACAGGGCAAGCTACTGTATATAAACAGTATACAAACAGCAAAGCCCACACTTACTGTATTTGCATTGATGTTATTATTTAGTTGGGTAATGAAACAACTGTAAGCAAGCAACTAAGCTCAGAGAGCAGCAAGGATTCTAGAATTCACCCCTGACTTCCACATATTCTCTTCTGAAATTGTTGGCCTATGAGTAAGCACCAAGTAAGTCCCCTCCTTATACAAGCGATTGGACAGTAATTTCATCATCAAGCCCATTTTCCAGAATAATATGGTCTATAAGACAAAATATGTGAAATTTGCATCTAATCTGGCCCTAGTAATTTATTTAAAACTGGGATTTATTAGAGCACTAGAATATTTTAGACAGGATTCTGTGTGTAGGCTTTCATGGCACTATCTATTGGGCAGTGTTGTGCTTCAGGGTTGAGTAACTGGTCTAGACATCAGATTTCCTGATGTCTTGCCGGCAACTGTGGCGGGCATTTTCAGAAGTAAAGATGCCCACCAGAATTTTCTGTACTCATACAAACATATCAATACCCATGCAAAAATACTCTAAATTCTTGCTTGACAGAAAGTATGATTATAGATATGTACAGCTCCCCAACTTGGTGCTCTTCCCAATATATTGGACTACAACTCCTATAGCAATTGGTAACTTTTACTTCAGGGGGGATTAAAAAGGATATGGAGAATACTGAAGCTCCAATGTGTACTCATAGAAAATTCTTCAAAGATATGTCCAGACATGTTTAGGAATATTCCCAGAAATTGGAAAATTAGAAACTTGATTCTTTAAAAAACAACTATAAACAGAGATTTTTTTTCAAGAAGTCAAGTTTTCATCTCTATGAAAAAGACTGTGTGGACACAAGAATTCATAAAAACCTCTGTAATGCCACTATGTCTACCTTGTATAAAGTAATACCATTAATTGTTTAGTAAGATAGTAATTATTTCTTTGAAGTATCTCGGAAATAAAATGTAGTGTTAAAACAGAATTTGAAAGTAGCATTATCAGCATTTATAAAAGTTGACCAATTTTTTTACCAACCTCATCAAAACGTAAAAGTTCAGCATATTAATGTATGCAGTATGGTAATGATTTGGGGAACACATAGTAACCAGCCTAGTTAAACATCTAACTGAGATTAAATCTACTTTCCCCTCAGTATCTTCCCAGGTAAGAGTGATCCAAAAGTCACCTAGTCCCTTTCAACTGGTAACTATAACTAAATCATGTCTAAAGAATAACTCTGGTATTTCAGTAAATTGCATAAAAGGTTTCTGATTTGCCAAGGGAAGTATACAATATTTAAATATTCTTCCTCAAAGATGGCATACAGGAAAACTGAGATCATGTGTCTTTCATCTGGAGTTCCCAATGGCTCTCTCTACCTACCAATAGCTGATAGGAAAGGTTGTTTAGAATTTCTCACAGAGAGCCATAGGCATGAAAGAAACATGGAAAGGTTGATATCATGGTGTCTCTTCAACACCTCCCATCCCCAGGGCTGTTGCAGATCACCTGGAAAAACTCCACTGAAGACTGAATTACCAGTTATCAGTATGTAAGTGTATGGTTGGAAAATACTTAACAAGACTAGAATTTTGACAACTGTAGCTGACAAAATACAGTTATTTTGCTCTAAAAAGTATACTGGAACAGATGAAAACAGGCTTGAGTGCACTGCAAGCCTATATACTTAGTGTAATTCTACCCAAACTACTCAGCAAACATATCCCAAAAGAATTTTTTAAGTATGTTCAGAGAGCGAAATGTCACTTCAAATACTTCTTGGTTCTTCGGACTACAGAAGGGAGGCACGGCATTCCTTGTTCTTCAATTCTTGTTGCTTCTATTCTTTTCAGATAGCTACTTCTTCCTTTCATTGCACAGCACATTCCTTGACATTATCGCCGTCTTCTCCCAAATTATCTGGATTCAAGCTTTTTTTCCTCTCTATTCCCACCTGAAAGAAAAACAAACTGGGAGTTTTGTGGAGAACAGCAAAAGGCCACCTAATTTTTGTTTTGTATGTTTCACTCAAGAATGACTTGTCCCAAAGCAAGAATGGGCAGTACTCCTCTGATTCACAGATGACAGGTATGCAGAACTGACTCCAGCAAAAGTAGGTTCCCATGCTGCCTACATGGGAAATACTGAAGTGGTGTCATGGTGATTCATTGCAGGATGGGAAAGTTCACCAAACTTAATGGATATATAAATTTGAGAGGGAAGGATTCCCTGAACCCTATATAAAGCAAATGGGGAAACAAAGAAAAAAAATCCCATGTATGTGTAATGTGCCTTTTCTCTCTCTCCATTAGATTTATGAACATAAAAATTATACTGAGTAAGGCATGCTTAAGGGACGTGGTGGCTCAGTGGCTAAGACGCTGAGCTTGTCGATTGAAAGGTTGGCAGTTCAGCGGTTCGAATCCCAAGTGCCGCGTAACGGGGTGAGCTCCCATTACTTGTCCCATCTTCTGCCAACCTAGCAGTTCGAAAGCACATAAAAAATACAAGTAGAAAAATAGGGACCACCTTTGGTGGGAAGATAACAGCGTTCTGTGTGCCTTTGGCATTTAGTCATGCCAGCCACATGACCACGGAGATGTCTTTGGACAGCACTGGCTCTTCAGCTTTGAAACGGAGATGAGCACTGCCCCCTAGAGTCGGGAACAACTAGCACATATGTGCAAGGAGAACCCTTACCTTTACGGCATGCTTATAAGGAGACCCAGCTATTTGGACAACTTGTGCAAAGTTTGATAAGTACTATTTTCTTTAGGATAAATTCTGGGATATGGTGAGGAATGGAACCATACTTTTGAGTTGGACCTCAGAAGGCCAGGAATAAACATTGATTCTTGTGAAACAGTACTGTATATAATTCAGATAAAAAGCGAAAGTGCCATAGATATTCAAAGAATGTGCTGTGTTTCAAGTGATGAATAGGCATTATGATTCCAAACAATAGGTACAGATTGATTTTGGAAGAAATGAAATATCTGAGCATCCTACTTTGTTCCTATAAAAATAAAGAAAGAAGGACATAAAGCAGACAGGGTTTCAGCCAATGAGCCAATGCTTTGCCTACCAGAAAGAGTGTCTTCCATTAGAGGAGGTAAATTGGGTCAGGAGCAGTGATGGGTTGCCCCCGGTTCGGACCAGTTTGCAAGAACCGGTAGTAAAATAGGCGGGAGGCTCCGCCCATTGCCCCGGATGTCGTTATAGGCGATCTGCGCATGTGCAGAAACTCGGCGCATGCAATCCCATTGCAAACTGGTAGTAAAGGTAAGTAGAACCCATTCCTGGTCAGGAGACACAGCTGAAAGGATTTCAATGTTAATGTGAAAATATAGAAAGAACAAGGCTAAAGTTATAGGCCAAAAGTGGTAGGAATGTTGGCTGGAAAGGTGCTGGATGGCTCATAAAAAGCTTCATTAGCAGACTAGAAAGAGTAGCACTGTCTGAGGAAAGGGGGGGAAATGGGATGACTCCTTTTAATGAAAAGAGAGCTAAAGTTAGCCGTTTCAAATATAAAAGAAAGGCCAACGTGTATTTATTTTACCTATTAATACAGTACGTTAAATTTATAAGGACAGCCAACTCACAGCAGAGTACAGATTGGAAACAAAATCCAATATATTAACTCAACAAAGAAATAAAAGATGAACATAGCCAGGAGGAACAGACTTAGCACAATACTGGATATAACCTTTTCAAACTGACTCATACTCAACTAAGCTAGAGGCTGGGGAAACAGCCAAATCTTCAAGGCTCATTTAAAGCATAGCAAATTGGCTAAAGGCAAGATGAAACTCTTCCAAATATCATATCTCTGTGGAAATAGGGCCAAGCTATAATGGTGAAAGAAGGTGGAGGGTAAGAGCTTTTTGAACTCCAAGAGGAAGTTTATACCATTGGGCAGATGGGAAAAGGTGAGAAGGCATGCTTCTAGGTAGCTCTTATAACTTGTTGATTTAGGGAAGATGCAGCCTGAGGATCTTCCTAACAGTATCTTCTTTCCAGCATTCAAAGAATGCTTCTGTTCTTTTTGTTTTCAACTTTCGTTGTCGTTTTTGTTTCTGTTGTTTTAATCAGAAACTATTACATTATCTCTCCCTTTGGAAAACCAATTGGACAGGCTTGATTAATGCTGAAAATTTAGTTTTTCTTTTTGAAGACTAACAACAGCTGATGCACAGTTAATTACAGTAACTAATTACAGGGTGTTTTTACTGTTGTCCTTTTTATGTATTTTCTTGTGTAACATTTTTATTTCTTCTTGTTTGCTTGTTTTTTTTGAATTTTCAAGTATATATACTGCATTTTTGTTATGCATTAGATTATTGCAGAATGATCAATATTATTGGATAGTACTATCATGGATAGTATGTCCTTGGGGAAACTTCCAATGCCTTCCAAACTGCAAAAACCTTGAAGGTTTCTTTGATGTCACAAGAAACCAAGTGCCTAGGATACAGAGGTCCTGGAGACAGGTTCCCCCACTATACAAAGGATACACAAGGGGAATGTCTCCAAAGAGATTTTTGCTCTTTACCACCATGAAGGGAATGAGTTCTTTAATGTTCAAATGAATAAAGCCAATTTGGTGAAGCAAACCACTAAGTTGTAACTTAATACAATTCAGTAGTTGTGGAAAAACTAGACTCATGTTACAGAGAAAAACTTGTGTACAAACACCTGAAGCATATAGAGTCATGCCAGTAGGATAGTAACTTCTTTGGTGATATCTACTGTTGGTCCTTGATTTGGAGACCTCTTATAACTGATCCAGAGAACAAAGTGCAGAAGAACTTGAGCTATGTGGTGAAGAAATGTGAATGGGAATGTGTAATTAACCTAAACAATGGAATGAAATTACACTTTGGAGTCGAAAGATATGACATAACATACATAACATAGGGCCATAGAGAGACCAAATAATGAAACTCTAAATTAGTAAATGAGTCAAATTATTAAAAACTAAAGAAGGGGCAATTCAAAGTGACAATAAAGTTATTCTAAGTCTAAGTCTAAATAGCAAGGTCTACGTAGAGACATGAAGGTACACGTTCTTCAAATCTATAAATGTGAGCCATTCTACCATTTTACAAATGGGAACGATATAAATGTTACAATAGATGTAATATCCCAAAACCAAGAGACCTTTAAAAAACATTTGAAATAGAGATGGCAAAGTGACCTGCCTCTCATCAATAGCAATAGCAATAGGATTTAGGCTTATGTACTGCTTCATAGTGCTTTACAGCTCTCTCTAAGTGGTTTACAAAGTCATCATATTGCCCCCAATAATCTGGGTCCTCATTTTACCGACCTTGGAAGAATGGAAGGCTGAATCAATTCAGAATTGAACTCTTGGAATGAGCAGGGAGTTAGCCCTCAGTACTGCATTCTAGCCACTGTGCCACCATGGCTCTTAAGCCATGAGTTAGTTTCTTCCACAGGAATACATGACCTGAAGTACCATGTTTTCCCGAAAATAAGACCCTGTCTTATATTTATTTTGAACCCTGAAATAAGTGCTTGGCCTTATTGCCATGCGCTCAAAAGTGTGATTGGGCTTATTATCAGGGGGTGTCTTATTTTGGGGGAAAGAGGGTACACAGAAAAGCACTTTCTGGGAATAGGGAAGTACAGCTGTACAGTAAATAGGGACAATTGAGAAATAGCTGGAGGAGAGACAATGCTCAGAGATGAGCCTGGTGTTCATTGGAACTTCATAAATGGCAAATTGGACAAAAAAAAAGAGAGAAAAAGACTCAAAGTGACAAAGCCAACAGCAATTAAGTAATTCAAGACCTAAAAGGCTTTCCTAGAAGAAAGCAGATGAAATGGTGAGTTGAAGAAGGGAAATTTAAGTTGAAAATATGAGTGCATTTAGGCAAGACTGGCGCTGAGAAGCTCTCAAACTGAATGCCTAGGAATTCCAGGCAAAATTGACTTTAAAAAGAAGGGGGAGGCAGTCTTGTCATTTTCCTTAACCCTTTGTTATGAAAGAGAAAGGAAGAGCTGGAAAACAGCTGAGCAAAATATAGGAAGGCTGGGAGAAGGCCAGCAAGATTCCTGTGTTCACCCACAGGGGCGTTCCCACAGTGGTGATTAGGAGAAGGGTGAAGGCTCAGGAAAAGAATGGCTCATTGCTTAGGCAAAAAAAAAAAAAAAAGAAAGAAAAAAAGAAAGAAATCGGTAAGTACAGTGAAAGTTTCAAGGTTAAAAACTGAAGTTTAACTAAAGGAAAGTAAATTAGAAAGAAGGAGAAAGTGTTTTGAGAAAAAAAATAACTCTAGGAAACTTTGAAAAACAATTATAAGAATATTAAAGAATATATTTTAAAAAATAAGGAAAAAAGTAAGAACGTTTGATAAATCAGAAGGATGATCAAATCAAGCATGAACATGCTAAACACTGTGGCAAGTCCAAAACAAATCCAAACAAGCAAGTAGGAAGATTAATGGATTAAGCAGGAGCCATGACTAGTTGGTTTGGAGAATAGGGCCTTTCCCAAATAATGCTATATGCTATACATGTCTCCAAATGTGGCTCTGGATAGAGTGTTATAACTCATGGAAGTGAATAATTCTGTTCTGACAAATAGGATGGACAATAGGGTCCCTAAGGTCCCTTCCCGTTCTATGATAATTTAAAAGTCCATACTGAAAAGCTAAGTAATGTACAGACCTTTGTCCCATTGTAATTAAATGTGATTTTTCTGTGGCTCAGGAAAAGAGATAGCTTCTGATTTTTATTATATGAGATCATTTTATTTGAGATGTCAGGTTCTGAGCCTGGGGCCTTTTCATGCAACATATATTCTGCCAAAAAGCTGGAGATTAATTTAATCCATTAAATTACTGCAGGCAACATACATCAGATAGCATAGAAGATCTGACTATTCATACATTAGTGCTTCTGTAGAAGGCATGCTATCAAAAGTTATCTGAATGCAAAAATAAACAAACCCAGAAGCTCCTGTAAACCACACCAACTTTGAAAGAAAAACAGAAGAGTGGATGTGGGTTTGGGTGAATGAGTAGTTATCAGTTATTCAACCATACCTTATAATTGTAATGTGCTGCATAATTCACCCACTTCCTCACATCAGTCTTGCCTTCCACAGAGATGGACCGAATGGCAGCCTTGGATGCTGAACTTGCTGGCATATCAAAGTCTACATCCACATAGCGGACAAAATGAGAAGGCACTTCCCGGTCTGAGCCAAGTTCCAGATGGCAAAAGAAGCAATGAGGATGACCTGCAGCTAAAAAGAAATGAAAGAATATGGCAACTGAGAACACCGACATGGAATCTTAGAAGAAAAAGGATGACAAATACCAAAAGAAAGTCACTGAATTATTCAAATGATTATGTTAGAATTCTGAGGTCAGCTTTTTTGACATAAATATGGAGAGAGACAACTTATTTTTTAAAATCAAACTTGAGAAGGCATTAAATAAAGCTTCGCTAGAATATTACTAGTACCATATATTCTAATTCTAGAACCTGTCTAAACAACTACGGCTCCTATAATCCCTACAATTCATCATCACTGGCAAAATTAGTTAACTGAAGGGAGTTGGAAAGCCACACTGCCCACACATTTTAGAATATTGCTGCACAACTCTCACAAGCTTCTGGCTTATTCCTTGCAAATACATCACAATGAATCCTGGAAAAAATGCTTGAAAAACTGTCAGCTAATGCTAGCTAAAGGCTGGTTGTCTCTTCTTTCATGCAGAATTATCACTTGGCATATACAATAGTAGATAAGGCTGATGCATGCTATTAACAGTTCTACATGTTAATTTAGAAAAGAATAATCCAATGCGTACAAACGTGGTCTTTTAAAATGCTCAATCCCAAGGCAGTAAGGAAAGCCCAGCTTCTTTTAAAATATAGGGATTGAGGCATGATTACACAGAGAAATAGGCACAACTCATTGTTCTTTGCTGAAGACCATGAGTGATAATTATTTTGAACCATGTACTTTCTTCATGTGAAAAATTCAGGAACAAATACATCATCTAATTTTTTCTAGGGCTGCAAGGCAAATATTTGGTATGCACTTGTATAAGGTGCAAACAAAAATTATGACTTATTGCATGTAATTGTTCATAAGAAGATATTGAGGTATTTTTTTAATGAAAAGCTTACATCAAAAAGAGGAAATAAATTTACTTAACTTTTTCCCACTTTTTTCCCCACTTTTTTTTTTAACTAAATGTGTTTGTCAGTTGCTCTTCTTGCTGTGAAGCTGTAGATGCATATCTAATTTTCTCCCATTCAGAATACTTTACTCATGTAATTTTATAAACATATAATTAGGCTTAAAGAATATCAATTCTAAAGCAAAATTGTGATACATTGGCTTAAACAACAATGAACACAGTAGTATGGACAATGGTTGGGCAACCTTTTGTGTCAAATACCTGAATCTCAGTGTGCAGACTAGTAACTTTCTGCTTAAATATGTGAATTCTCTATTATCTTGCGCAACCATGATCTGAGCCCCAATCTCCCTGTCTGTGATATAGGAATAATACCATGTTATTTCTCTGTGAAGTGTTTTTAGATTTGCCTTGATTGCTGTTACACACTATAGAGACAAAAATGATAGATGCCATACAACAAGATCATTTTTGAGTATTCTCATGGATATAAAGCATGATTTATAAATATATTATTTTGCCTTTCATGTAAAACAGGGGTCCCCAACTGTTGGGCTGTGGCCCGCTACTGGGCTGTGACCTATTCAGAATTGGGCTGCGTGAGTGGTTGGTTGGAGCGTGCACACCTGCACAGCTCAACTTGCATTGTGCATGTGTGTAATTGTGCTTATGTAGATGTTTGCTTAAAATATGGAAGGGCAGTAGTGTGGTCCTTTTGTAATATCAAAAGTTCTGTGTCAGCAATCAGTTCAGATTCCTGACATGAACTGTCAATCTGTTCAGCGGCAGCTTTCTGGCTAGAAAGAGACTTATGAGAGTGTCAAAAGGGAAGAGAGAGTAAAGGACAAAGGGGCTGATAGAACGAGAACATGACAAATCCTAGTTGTTTTTGACTTTTGACCTGCTCACAACTTGCTTCAGCCAACAGATGAGTGATATGCAGTATCAGATTATTCTGAATGCCATTCAACAACAATAAGATTGCTAATTTCGGCTTTAGAAGCAGAATCAGGATATTTTTTTGTTAGTTTAAAAGACATTACCACATTATCACCATCCTCAGAGGAGGAGTGAAGAATGTTTGAGAAGCAGAGATCATCCAGTCTTCTAGAGGACACTAGCAATATGGAATCAAAATTGCTCACTCTGTTTGGGATGTTATTTGGGGGAAGTTACCTAAGAGTGTCTTTTTCTGTCTTTCTCTGCGACTAGGATTGAAAACTGCATCAAAAACCATGGTTTGTTTATCTACAATAGGCTATGATTGTCTTGAACCTCAAAACACACTGCATCATAAATCATAGTTACAAGCCATTCTGGCTAAGTTCAAGCAATACACAAAGCCTCAAACTAAAGATAGTGAAAGTCAGTGTGACACAAAAACAAAGCCTGTTTGCTGGTTGAGTGCATGCGCATGTGTATAATCTATACGACCTTTTTGGCACCGAATGCCCAAACTGGAATGTGCATGCATGCAAGTGTGTGTAATGGAGCCCCGGAAACTGGAAGACCAGCTGGCCAATGCGCATGCACTCACCGGCCACCTGGTCTTCTGGTTTCTGGTGTGTGCATGTGTGCTGGCCAGCTGGTCTTCACGTGTGCCAGAGCGCCAGAAACTTGAAGAGGCCACCTGGTCTTCTGGTTTCTGGTGCATGCATGCCTGCCGGCCAGCTGGTCTTCAGGTTTTTGGGGCTCCAGCACATGCAAAGATCACCTGGCCATCACACATGCACACACTGGAAACCAGAAAAGCAATTGGTGATGGCGCATGTGCCCACGGAGAGGGCTCTGCGTGCCACCTCTGGCATGGGTGCCATAGGTTAGCCATCACGGCTATACAATATTTTGCAGGGGATTTATTTTAAAATTTCAGCAATTTTCATACAGTACACATTGAGAAAGGGATGTTTGAGTAAATGTTGATTTTCTACAGCGCACAGCCCCAAAGCTGTACTTTAAGTCTATTCTTATTAAATATGGGCTGCCCTGTTTTCAGGCTAGGCAGAAAAACATGCCATGAATCAATATTTTCTCAACATTCTTTATTCTGCCTGATGCTGTCTAACTAAAAACATCCTTTTGTACTGAAACAATGAATCATACGCAGTTGGGACAGAGATTTCTCACAGCCTATAAACAAGGCCCATTATTTATCAGCCAGCATCAACAAGTTGTTTATGGAGAAGCATACATCAGAAGTTGTCAAGCTGCTGTTGGAACATTGCAAAAAGCAATGCTTTTCAGGGGAATTCAGCTGATCTGTTTTGATCTTACAACTTCAAACTGGCCCAACGTAACTTTTTTTAAAGAAAAGTTCAGTTATGACATCATAACAGCTGTTTCTCAAACACAACAAAAGACAGCTGCGCACTTGCCTTGTATCCAGAATGGATGTTATTTCCATGCATCAGAAAATCAGTTTACCAAGGCCCAAGTGAGAAGTAAGATTTAGTTATGCCAAGGTCATATGAACATCCATTGATTACAATGGCCCAATCATTTATATGCAACAGTTCTACAGTATTCATGCAAAGGATTAATATGTGACTATTTCATTGGTTCATTGCTTTTATTTGTTTAGAATCATATGGGAATCCAGACTGTAAATTGGTGGAGTTATCCAGCCACTGGACAGAGATAATTAATATTATAAATATGTAAGCAAGTAATTAAGAAAATACTTTTAGTGTTCTTTTTTTTTTTTTTTGTTAAGACTTTTGATTATATAAAAGAATAGGTTTATTGGCCTTCAAAAAATTTCTGGAATCAGGAGAGATCTCCATGTAAAATAGAGGAGCTCAAATTCTATGATCAACCCTTTTCAGTTTCTGAGATCTTAACTAGATGCATTTCTAAAACTTTCAGTTCCATGAAATACTTTTTATCATTTCTAAAACTAGTACTGTTTTGACAAACTTCCTCAAAATATATCAATTCGGCAACATGATTTTGTTTTCCCTTTTTATATCACTCCTCTATTACTTGATACCTCTGCTGCTATTCATTTGATTATCCCTGATTTTATTTCATGTGTGTTTCTTGTCTGACACAAACAGGAATGCTTTCCAATATGAGAAAAATAATTCTGTTAATGGTTTTTAATCTGTTAATTAGAGCTGTGATTCAGTGTCAACAATGGGCTAGAATTACTGTGCTGTAGTGATATTTTAATGTCTTTATATATTAAACTTCTCATGTCCCCTACAAGGTGACTCTGGGTGGCTTATAAATTTATAATATAATTTATTTAATAAATTTCCTGTTCACTGTCCAATTTTACAGAAGATGGTCAGGGGCCTTCAGTTGAAAAACATACTAAACCCTCAATTGCCTGGGACAAGCAGTCTCATCTTTTCGTATGTTACAGCAACAAAGCTGATGGAACAGAAAAGAACTTATTCAGCTCTCAATACAGCCTTGCTTGTAACATGCCAAGAGATCAGACATGTCCGGACAAGATGGTGCTGTACTGTAGTCAGGCAGTTATCAGCATTCTCTAAAATTCCTGTAATGAAGCAAAATTGCTAAGGAAAGATGTGGTAGAATTGTTCCCAACATTAGAGAAGAGTTAAAATTAATAAAAAAAATTCTGTCAGTAATAAAAATTCTAGGAGTTCAGTTCCTCAGTTCCAGCTGAGAACAGAGTATATTAGATAGAATTTTAGGTGGAAAATAATTGATTTCCTAAAGATTCAGAACAAAAGAACAGCTCTGAAATCTCACACATGCTGAGAGCTACTTTATATGTGAGAAAGGCCGGCTGGTGCCTTTCACTGAATTCAGTACTTCAGAAAGTACTGATTTTTCTGGCAGATTATCAATTACATCTTCAGAAAGCTCAATGTGTTATAGCTTCTTCTTTTTGTACCTCTAATAAATCTTGTGAGATTTGCCACAAGAAATAGAATTCTGAAGGAGGCCTGCTTAGTGGTTGAAACCGAATAAGGGAAAAGCTTTATATTAGACTTTTCCTTGATTTTACAACAAAATAAAAATAGTTAGCAAGCTGAAAAATATTGCATTAGTACATTACCAGATCCCTCATTATCTTTCTCCTGATATTATCCTTGTGGAATTTGAAAACTATTTGGCTGTTGGGCAAGGAGTCTATTACATGATAGATGCTTGACAATGTAGCCACTTTAAGAGTTGCAGTGAGGGGCTACATACACTCCTATCCACCCCAAAGCATATTCTTTGAAAGAAAGCTGAGGTACTACACAGATGATAAAATTATTGTTGTTGTTATTGTTACTGCTACATAGTCATACTTTCAGAAAATGAAACAACTTCATTTCACACAAGAATTGATTAGAATTTCTGAACAAGATACTGAGAAACTATACTAATGTGTCTTTCTTACAAGCTAATCTAATTCATGCAGCAGTACCCACCAGAATTTTTATCAGGTAGGCGATTTATCCTCCACACAATGGAATTGAAAGCATGCTCGTATTTGGCAGTTCCTAGTGTTACCCTCATTGCTGGCTCAGAGCCAGACACGCTGGTGGATCCAAAGCTAGCAGTTTTGTTCACCTTTGCTTTCAAGGACTTCTCTCCAAGGACACTGTCTCTCCGGAAGTTTTTCACCCACTTATGCGGCACAGGATAACGAATCATCACATTTTCACAGGGGACTTGACTTAGAGGATCTCTGTTGGATGAGAACCCTGGTGACATCATCAGCCAGCTCTGAAGCTCTACCTCAGCACCATTGACACTAGCCGTAACCCTTAGAGTAAAAGGCATGGTCTTCTCAGAAAAGACACTCCTAAAGCGCATCAGTTCGAACCGGCAAGCATCCAAAGGGTTAAACATAATGACACGGGCACTGGCAAATGCCTCTTCATCCACACATGAATGGAAATGGCAATCATTCAATTGAATCCACTTGGTAGTGGTTGTGGGCATGATGTCCTGCCGCAAAACAATTTCATTCCCTTTAATAAGAATGTCGTTGAGGCCCAGCCTACACTCTGCCAGTCCAGAAAGAAAGCTGAGCACGTGTACTCGTGTCAATACATTATACTGCAAGATCCTGTTGTCTCCTTTGGCCAAAATTCCATAGAATTCATCCTTTACGTCAACAGTGATTTCTTCCTCTTGGTAATTAAGTCCAACTGTACTTAAATCTGTTGAAGAAGCAGGCAAATCCATCAATGAATCCTGAACAGCCCTGATAAAACTAAGGAAATCATTATAATTGGTGGTGCCTAGCTTAATAACCTGTTCCTTTTCTGCTATGTGAGAAACAGCTGGCTTTGGCTGGTATTTCTTTTTTTCTTTGTAAGTAACACGGTCTATTCTCACACTGTGTATCCTTCCATTTTCATCATAATTTTGAAGCTTGGGCTCTGAAACCTCATGATTTATTTCAAGCTTGAATTCCTTAAAAGGCTTTTCCAATCCCTTTTCATAGAAGAGTTGTAAATATCTTCTGTCTTTCAGTTTGACATATATTGGACCCCAGTGCCTAGAAGACATTATATTCTTCTTTTCTGGTATCCTCAGCATCATTGGCCAGCCATCTTTTTGCTGAGGTGGCCCCAAAGTGGACATGGTATTATAGAGCTCAGTGGAGATTGTAGGGTCATCATCTGGCAGACTGAGGCTGTTCAGTTGATCTGGATCACCAATATGGAGCTGCTTGAGTTGCTCAATAGCATCTCTATGTCTGAGGTGTGTACTTGGCTCATTGAAGCTAATGGAATCAGGTTCCTGATGAAGGATAAGAAGAGAATCTCTCTGCTTTTTACTAGTGTTTCCAGAGAGAGAGTTGCCTTGGGTACGTCTATCCCTTTCCTCAAAGAAAGAACTGAATGGATTGATAGGAGAAGGTTGAACATCCTTTAGTGATACATCAAGGAAAGGATTAGTAGCACTCCAGGGCGGTGTTCCCCCAACTGATGGCAAGGTGATGGAAGAAAGGTCGAGCTTCTGAACTTTAGAAAAATCACTCAAGGTGCTCTTGGGGCGTTCCCTTTTTTTAAAGGATAAAGGGGTACTAGTGTTCACATCTATGACCTGTGTGGTTGCTGTTGTTGCTCCTTCTGATAACGATGAAGAATCTTGTTTCACAGGAGATGTAGTTATTGGAGAAGTGGAACTAACTTCATTGTCATCAAAGGTCACCCAGCTGGGGAAACGGGCTGTGGTTGCACTTTCACCGTGGCCATTAATGGATGTGTTGTTCAGCTGCCAGCTGGTGGCCTCCATTCCTAGCTCCTCATCTTCAAGAAGAGATGAAGAATTGTCTGACAGAAGGAAAAAAGAATATAATTACTGCACAATGACTGAGATATTTTTATTATACACATATTGATTACATAATAATGAAGGAATGAAGATATTCCAGTAGGCTCATAAGGTTTTCTTGGGAGGAACAAGTTATATTAATGGTCCCTTTTATCTCATTTTATAGAAGCCATTAATAAAATCTTAACAGAAATAAAACTACCCTTCTGAAAATCAGCTTTCTTATATTGTTTAAATATCTTTAAGTATACTAGTAGAATCTATAAATATCTATTAAATAACTAGCAGATATTATATTTCTTTTACAGAAAAGAAGAGCAGAGCGTTTTAAGGATGACCATTGTATAAGGCCTTTTCTCCTTGTGAGATTGTCCTAGCTCTTACATATGTTTAAAATAGATCAGATATTTTATTAAAGATAAAATTTCATGTTGTCACTTCTGTACGAGTGCATATTTATTGCAATGTCAAAAACCACTTTTAGGATGTAAATATACATGGCTAGTGGAAAAACAGACTCCTGTCTCTTATAAAGACATTGTAAGAGCTAGCAAATCTAAGCCAAATAACATTCTGAAAACAAAAGACTCTATACACCACTGATAAAGTGAGTTCAAGTCACAAAAACTTAATGCCTTTTAATAAGTCAGAAAAGATGCTACTAGAATCCTGTTACAGAGAAGTGGTGTATTTTTTTTCCCCACTATGACAGCCTAAAGTGCAAAATTTTCTGCTTGCGGTGAAAAACATCCTCTTTCATGTTACTATTCTTTTGCATTTACATTTAGCTTTTCTCTTAAGAACTCAAGGCTACCTCCAGGAACAGAAGCATTGATTGCTGAGGAACAATAGCAGAAAACTATTCTGTTCTACTTGTAGGTTTCCTATAGAAGAGGAATATGGGAAACAGGATGATGTATTAAATAGATCTGCCTTGCTGCAGGTAAGATTCTTTTTACATTCCTAGACAAATTCTACTCCATCTGCTTCTGTTAAAGAGACAGATGCATATATTTTGATATGAAAAGGTATACCAAAATAACAATCCCTATAGACGTAATAGTTACATTAGGGGTGTCAAACTCACATTGTCACACCGGCGTCATGTGAGTTTTTCCCCCCTTCGCTAAACTGAGCATGGATGTGGCCAGCACATGACACATCCGGCCCGTGGGCCTGGAGTTTGACAGCCCTGAGTTAGATCTTATCACCACAGAATATACTGAATAGGACTAGAGTGAAGTTTATTCATCGACTACAACAAATCGTAGAGCATAAAGTAGTAAAGCATTTTGTTGTTCGTATGTAAATATTTGACTGAAATCAAGAAACCATGTGAAAGACTGAACAGGTATGAGCATTTGCCTTCAGTATATCCTCAAACCTCAAAACTAAGAACTGATCCTACAAAACCAGTGGAATGGCTTGCCTTCAGAAATTATGGATGTTTCATCACTGGAGGCTTTTAAGAAGAGACTGGACAGCTATCTGTCTGAAATGGTATAGCGTCTCTTACTTGAGCAGGGGGCTGGAGTAGAAGACCTCCAAAGTCCCTTCCAACTCTGTTATTCTATGTTCTAAATTAGATTAAATACACAGGTTGTACTCTTTCAAAAATAACATTCAAAGTACCATGAAGGCGAACAATTTTTATCCTTATCTCAGTAATTCATGAAAGTTTTTAACACTGGATTCCCCAGAGTAAATGACAGTAAGTTCTTCTTTACTGTAAAAACCTCAGTTTAAGAACTGAATTATTGATCAACAGTATAGCTATAATATTGAATATCATTCTCTGGAAGGTAGTCAGAAAATAATTCTGAATAAAATAAACAGCAAATAAACAAAGAATAACTACCTAGTAGCGGCATGAGAATTTTGAACCATGTGGTCAATCCTCATTAGAACTTCAGAACCATGACTTTTGTTAAATAAAAATGATTTAATAGAGTGACCAGAAGATGGTGCCATAAAACTAAACTGTATTACAAAAAATATTGGTTTCAGATTAAAATAGATTAATATTAATATTAATTGTTAATATTACTTAACCTATCTTTAATATTAAAATTCAGTATATTTACTACATGACCTTTTTTTTTTCCAGAGAAAAGAGCATTGTATGGTCAAATATTATTGCCACGTATAACAACCAGCCCACTACAAAGCCATGTTATATATGTTATCAAAATATGGCAGTATGTAAATATTATTAGATATTTTATCAGAAAAGGGGGAATTGAAAATGAAACAAGAATTAGAAGAACAAGGGATTGATATGGTTTGGTATACACAATTGCAAATACAATCGAGATATGAAAAAGATGCTAAGTTATATAATTTTTACTTGGAGATGACAGAATTGGATGAGATACTCACAGGAACAGATGAGAATGATTAAAAAATTGTATAGCTACTTACTTTGTATTAAATTAGAAGAACAAGTAAAAGAAACAATGATAGCATAGGCGAAAAATTGGGTATACAATAGAGCTAGATAAATGGCAGCAACTATGTGAAACCCTATATAACATATTTTATAAATGGCATATGTCACTGGAAAGACTGGCAAAAATGTTTAAAGATAAATCAACTAATGTTGGAAATGCCACCAGACACCGGGATCGTATTATCATATGTGGTGAACATGTGCAAAAGCGAGAAACTACTGGGCAAAAATTCGAATATGGTTAGAGAAAATGACTCAGCAACATATTGATTTAAAACCGGAACTATCTTTGTTGGGTATTTTACCAGAGAAATTTAGTAAAGAAAATGTATAATTGATTATTCATGTAATAACTGCAGCGAGAATTGTATTTGCACAAAATTGGAAAGCAGAAAAAAATCCCTACAAAGGGAGAGATAATTAAGAAAATATTAGAATATACAGAAATGAACAGATTAGCATTGGCAAGTAAAGGGAAGGAACAATTGGAGTATTATAACATATGGAGGCAATTTTACCTTTAGATAGAAAATGAATATGGACAAAAAGTGGTATAATATTAAATAAATTTGGAAGGAAAATGTTTTAATAGGAGATACAATAAATTGAAATGTAAAAGCATATATATATATATATATATATATATATATATATATATATATATATATATATATAAAATGGTGGTAAGCATTAAATATGACACAAAAATTTGTACCCAGATGACACACTGATTAACGATGTAGTATTTGTTTTTTAAAAAATAAAAATCTTTTTATAAAAAAAAATATGGCAGTATGTATCTGTATAGGTATGTCTCTATTTCTATGTCTATCTCTTTAAAGACCTCTATATGATAATTCCCTAGAGGTGTTGCATAAGAATGTGCATAAGCATATAAAAGAATGTTAAGTAGAGTTTTTATATAATGGCTCTGACTTCAAGTTTTTTGCAAGTAGAAGTTTTTCAGACCTGCACAAGGCTTCAATTTTTCCTATTGTCCCATCATTTTGTGTGAACATTAAAAGGGGCTCTTGGATTTCTAGAAATCTGTGCATTTCAGTTACACATGTACTCATTTCCTTGTATGTTATGATTGGGAAACCTCAACCAGTCTGTTTTTGCTTTAAAGTGTTATCAGCTATTTAAATCCAGATAAAAGAAATAGCCACTCGTTTAGTAACTACCTCATTTAGTGACCATTCACATGTATGACAGTAATAAACAGTAGTTTAAAAACAACAATTTTCTGACCAATGTGCACATTCCCCACCAAATTTCTTGCATCTGACAACAAAAGCCTTCAGTGTGAAACTGATTAAAGTCTGGTAAGTTTCAGGCAGCTGTGCAGCCAGCAGGAGGCTTCTAGTCAAGCAATTAAGGTCACAGAGTTGAGTTTGCTCTGTCCAGAAAAGCAGTTCAGGAAGAGATCACTTCTTTAAGCAATCTCTGCCCTGCAAAGGGATAAAAGAAAAAGGGAGGGGGAAAAAGAGCAAGGCACATTATCTGAATGAGAGAACTGCAACCAATGATATTTGCAATGTCTTTCTCAATCACATGATCACCTCATGACCATTTTGCTTAGTGACCAAAGTATTGGAATGGAATGTAGTCACTAAATGAGAGTATATAAACATCTGACTACAGCTTATCCATAAGACTAAGTAGATCAGGAGTGTCAAATTGGCGGCCTGGGGGCTGGATGCGTCACACCCACACGCCCACTCCAGCTCCGCGAATGGGAAAAACATCACAAGACATCACATGACGCAGCAAGTTTGACACCGGTGAAGCAGTGGTTTTACTACCGGTTCTGTGGGCATGGCTTAGTGGGCGTGGCAGGGGTAGGATACTATAAAATTTCCATTCCCTCCACACTCAGGGGAAGGTTACTGCAAAATCCCCATTTCCTCCCAATCAGCTGGGACTCGGGAGGCAGACAATAGATGGAGGGAGGGCCAGTCAGAGGTGGTATTTACCGGTTCTCCGAACTACTCAAAATTTCTGCTACCAGTTCTCCAGAACTGGTCAGAACCTGCTGAATACCACCTATGCCATGAAGTAGGTAGTTTGGATAATTTTTTATCTTCTTTTGCTATTTTCATTAACCTGCTCTATCAGAAACAAAATTAATTTTCAGCTTCCTGAAATTCTCAACTGCACTCAAAGAACTGAAGCTAGCAGCTAATAATGTACCCAAACCAGGCAATGATGGGCCTCATCACAATTTCTTTTTGAATTAAGAGTTCTCACTGGTTTAGAATACACTCAGGTTTCACCACTATTTGCTGTGGGAAAGGAGCAATCTTGCTCAAGCTATGTTTCAGGTATTTCTTCTCACTGAGGTACCTCTGACCGATTATCAAAGAAATCAGGATTTGAAAAACACATGTAGGTTGTATTAGAAGGTACGTTTTGGTTGACATACAATGCTACATAATATTCAGTAGCATTCTCAATATTTCTGAAACTGCAATTTTTCAAGTGCTTGTGAACTGATAACTCATTTTACACCGATCAAAAAATTCTTCATGGAGAAAACCTATCTATGTG